CAAATGCTTATTTTCTTGTAGTGTTTATGTTAAGATTTTTTATTATTTATTTTTATTTAAAAATATTATTTCTTTTATTTTATCTTTTTTAGTAGTAAAGGAATTTTTTATTCATTTTTCTTATAAATTTACAAAATAATTAATTTGAGTTTTAGGTTGTTAATTTAATTGGACGTTTAGTTGATTTAGGGGTTTTAGTGACTAGGTTCAGTTAATTTAGAGGTTCTAGAGATTGTTTCAGTTGATTTAGGATTTTTAAATATTGAGTTCAGTTGATTTAGGGGTTTAAAAGAATGGGTTTTATGGAATCAAAATTTTTGGAAGAAAGGAATTTTTGGGGTCTTGGATAAAGGTAAAAGATTTTTTGGTCTTATATTCTAATTGTAGTTTTTACAATAATTGAGGTTGCAAAATCATTTGTTTTGTCTATTGTTATATTCAAGAAATTTTTTATATGCTACATCAGCTCTGTTTGATTGTTGCTTTTTGTTTGATTATTGGTGGGTTTTGTTTAAATGGTCTCATATGTTGTTGCTTGGGTTTTATGCTTGTTTAGATTGATAAGGCATATATTGTTGACTAGTCACATATTTTGTTGTTTGGGTTTTATGTTATTTAGATTATTAAGTCATATGCTATTGTTTGGTCCCATATGTTGCTGCTTGTCCCATTTATTAAGCCATATGTTGTTGAATAGTTTCACATGCATTATTAGTTATACTATTTTATTATTTTCTACTTTAGTTTACCTTATTAACTTATGTTGACTTTTTCTTTTTGGCATCATGTGGAGGTAAATTTTCATGCGTGATCCTCACCTAAGATATAATATTTTTGAGGTTGATGATGTTAAGTGTAATCCTATGAAGTCTGCTATCTTTACATGGTTAAGATGATAAAGATAAAAAATAATGCAAATGTTTGTAAAATTATCTTTAAGCCCTTGATGAGGTTATGAATAATGGATTAAAGTTGTTAAACGATGATAATTCAGTAACTGATTTAATTACTATATGTTAACAATGGGGTGATTATGAAATTTATGGGGAACATGAGGTGGATGATCTTGTTTTTATAGCTAATACTTCTTTATTACCTAGACCTGAATCAAATATAGTAGTCGCAAGGGTTCGTGAGCCTAATAGTAAAACTGGTGAAACTTCAGATGTGGGAAAAGATGGTGGTGTTGAGGCTTTATGTATTGGAAAGGTTGGAAGTAATGATGCTAATGTTACAAAGGATCATGGTGATAATGCTAATGTTAAAAAAAATGGTGGTGTTGATGCCAATGTTAGCAAGCATAGTGGTTGTGATGTTGATGTTGAAGATAGTGATGACGAAAGTGATGGTCATGATGATGACAGGTCTGATAATAGTGACATATTACATGATGTAACATATTTATCAAATGATGGTGATGAAGTTAGAGAAGCAATAAAGAATGTTATGCAATGGTGTAGTAAAGAGAATTGAGAGAAGAAAATGACAAAGAGGTCGAGCCTTGTAATGATAACCAAACAATTGAGGCAAGATGTAGTAGTAAGAAAAAAAAAAGCAAAAGAGGTCAACTTCACCTTTCAATGTTGAAAATGATCATAGTATAAATAGATTTTCGAGAAAGTATCTTAAAGGTTCTAAGTCGTCTAGCTATGAATATAAGAAAAATAATGGTGGTGAGAAAGTTGAAACATTGTCGAGGAAAATTAGTTTTCCTTTTTATGATGCTATGTCTCTTATCCCTGATCTTGAATTAGGTTTGTTGTTTAAAGATAACATTCAGTTTAGAGAAGCCATGATGGATTATTTTGTTTACACTAAAAGAAATGTTTGGTTCATTAAGAATGAGTCTAGAAAGTAAGAGATTTGTGTGCTATTACATGCCCATTTTAACTGCTTATTAGCTATGAGGGTAGGTTGAAATGTTTCTAAGTAAAGATTTTGTGCAATAGAATATGCACAGATGTTATTGTAAGTACAAGTTACAATTAGTGAGTGCAAAATGGTTCTTTAGAATATTTGAGGATAAGATAAGGAAAAAATCATATTTGAAGCATATTAAGTTGCAAGATCATATTAAGATAGAATTGAAATTTTTTATGTCTATTGACAAAGTTAAAAAGGCAAAGCTGATGATATTGGTTAGTATACAAGATACCTTTACCAAAGAGTTTCTAAACTGAGAGCTTATGTTGATGAGTGCTTTAACTAAAATCCTGGTAGCATTATTGTGATAAAGACAAAAAAGGACTATTCCTACTTTTCCACCATATTTTCAGAGAATTTATTTTTGTTTTGTTGCCCTTAAGAAAATATTCAAAACAGGGTGTAGGGAAATGATAGCTTTAAATGGTTGTTTTCTTAAGGATTTAGTAAAATAAGAGATATTAACTACTGTAGGTAAAGCTGTAAACAATCAAATATACCATGTTGTTTAGGCTATGGTAAAGAATGATAATTTAGATTCATGGATGTGGTTTTTAGATCTTCTCAAAGTTGATTTCGACATATCTAATAGGGCATCTTAGGCTATTATAGTGATTAATAAAAGGTATAGTTCTTCTGAGTTTTTTTAATTGGATTTATATTTAAAGTTTATTAATATAATTACTTTTCACTAATTATGTTATCTTCATTGTTTTGTAGGGATTTATAAATGTAATAAAGGATATGTTTTCCAATGTTGAGTATGGGAGGTGTGTTAGACATATACATATAAACAAAAGCAAGAGCCACTAGATCAAAATAATGAAGCAACATTTTTGGATATGACAAATGCAACAACTGACAGATAATTTAAATATATGTTAGAGTTGTTGCATAAAAGAAATAACTTTAGATCAACAAATTAGTGTTGATTGAAATATCCCTCAAGGTATTGGTGTAAGGCTTTATTTAAAACTGATGTCAAGTGTGATGTTAGACATAACAGCTTATGCAAGATATTTAATAGTACTCTGGTCAAAGCTAGACATAAGCCCATCATCACCATGCTCAAAAAGATTAGAGTGGCCATGACGATAAGGATAAGTAAAAAAAAAAAGTTTGTGGCAAAATAGATATGGAGTCATAGTTCACTGGTAATAGAAAATTTGATTAAGAATTTGGGAGAAACAACTTAGTGGCAAGTTGTTTTGAATTATGGTAATGGATATGAAGTTAAGTACGTTAGGAAGCAATTCATAGTCAATCTTGCTAGAAAAACATGTGCCTACAAATCATGGGATCTAATTATTATCCCATGTTGTCATGCTATTTGTACTATTTTTTATGATGGCAATAAGCCTGAAGAATACATCCATGAGTACTATTTAAAGGAAATATATTTATTGATTTATTAGCACACTTTATAGCTTATCATTGGTGAAAATGAATAGCCAAACAGGGAGTTAGAAGCAATGCAACCTCCTTTGATAAGAAGAATGTTAGGTGGGCTAAAAAAGAATAGTAATATAGAGCATGATGAGCCAAAAATAAACAAATCGTCTAGAAAAGGAATGATCATGACTTGCCAACTTTGCAAACAAAAAAGAAGCAACAAAACTAGCTACCTTCAAAGAAGTAACTCAGTTATAAAATCAAGCTTTGTAACTTTTTTATTTAATACTTTTTAATTTTTCATTTGCCTAAATTAATTCTTCTCTAGCTATTGCTATAGTTTGTTTGTTATTACTTTTCTTAGGTTCCACAAAACTCAAGTGGTTCAACAAGAGAAAAAGGCATAGAAAGGCAAAATGGTAAGGGTTTGGGACCAACTAAATTAATAAAAAGAAGAGGAAAACATGCTTTTTGTAAAGAAAATGTTATTGCTAGTTTAAGACGGGTGAAAGTTGTTGCTAATTACTCTTTTCCTATTGTCACAACGTTTAGATATGGGGATCTATCGCTAGACATTGACTTAGGAGTCGCCACCAATCTTTTTTTATTTAGGTGTGATTGGCCACCTAAGGAATCTATCCTTTCAAGGAACACCTAGGTTTAAGGGTCCCTAATCTATTAATTAGAACAGGGTTCAAAAGTTCGATTACAAGTTAGGAAAGTTATAGCACCCTTACAACGGCCATCGAAAGATGGTACCAATTTAATTTCGTGTTATTCGATAAGCCTAAAAAAATTTACCAAGTAATTAATTATTGAAAATTATTCTTAATTAACTCCAATGCTTTTGGCAAAAAATTAAGAAAATTTTCTTACTTCAAAAGTATGCAAGAAAATTATTATTTCACTTGCAGAGGCTCAATCATCAGATTATTTAATATTTAAAAATTTTTCAAAGAAAAAAAAAAAAGAATAATTATTCGACTTTTGATATAAATCATTTTCTTTTTGTTTTATAAGAAAAACTCATTGCTTTTATACAAGGAAAATTGATACTTTCAACTTTTCTTTAAAAATGTTTTTCTTGATAATTTTTATTTTTAAGAAAAATTTGTACTTTCAACTTTTCCTCAAAAATATTTTTTTCCTGAAATTTTAATTTCAAGGAAAATTGATCTTTTCAACTTTTCCTCAAAATACTTTTTGAAAATTTTTATTTTAGAAATTTTATTTTCAAAGAATATTAATATTTTCAACTTTTCCCTAAAAATATATTTTTAAAATTTTTTATTATTTTATTTTATTTTTATTAAAGTAAAATATGTAAAAAATACTCCTTAAAATAAATAACACATAAAAAACAAACAAATAAATAAATAAATAAAATACAAAAAAAATGAACGGCTAAGCTCAAAGGATTCGACGTGACCCGACTTCAAACACAAAAGAGCTCTAAGGTGCGACTTAGTGGCTTGGCAGCTCGGCTCCACAATAGTTCAGGTGGAATGTTCTGGGTCAAGTCAGCATGGGTCCGATCGCAGTTGGATCAAGCCACCCGTAGAGCAGTGCTTGGATTCTAAGGATCTGGTTTCTCAATCCTCCAATACGAAGTCGTTTTGCTTAGTGTAAAAAAAAACTTTTTTTTTATTTTTCAATCATTCTTCATTTTTTTTCCTTAAGCTTTTGTTCCCCAACTTCTTTTTAGAGCCGAATAGATAGCCCTCACCAGACTCCAATGAGACTCTGCCACTATCTTCACCACACGTCACCGTCAGCTACCTCCGACCATCTGCCAAAGTTTATCTAAAAGATGCCCACTGTCTTTTCTTTCCAGTTTCGAACACGAATCTTCACAGATCAACACCCAGTATCTCAGATTTACGACCAAAGTCACGACCCTTCTAACATCCAATCACCTTTTTTCATCGTCTGATCTTGTCGATCTTTAGGTATGTTGTTCTGCTTCCTTCGTTCTACACTTTTACTATTTTTGATCTCCCATAAGTCCTCTCCACTAGGTTGCCACCGACACTGCCATTGTTAAGACAAAACTTTTATCTTGTGGCCTATATGTTGAATATGAGTCATATTACTCTGTGATTGCTGGTGTGGTGGTTTTTGTTGAGTATGGGTTGTATTGCTCTATTCTTCTAGTTTGTGGCTACTCCTTTGTATATGGCTGACAATTGGGTTTATTGTTTTTGGCACGGTAGGGTTTTGAGGTTAGGTTTGGTGTCTGGTGTTTGGGCTTTCTGGTCGATAGTGGTTGTGGCTATGGGCGACTGTTTGGTGAGGATTTGGGGTAGTAGTAGAACTGACTTGAACAGGAGTTGATGGTTGAAGTTTTTGGGTTTTGGTTTATGCCCACTGCTTGGAAAGGCTGATATAATGGGTTGCTGGGAATGAGTTTTCTAGGAATTACGCTAGAAATTAGGCATATTTTCTCTGTGTTTGTTCTCTAATCATTTGCTCGTGTCCTCTTCTATTTATTCTTCTGTTGATTTATAGGACTAAACTTAGGAGAATTTTAAATCATTTGTGATTCTGTTTGCATTATCAAAGAAAACCAAAATTTATCTTCCACAAAATGAATCCCACTCCAACCCTATCATTGCCACTCATTTCCTCTCATTAAGTTCAGCCTTAAAAAAAAAATTAACTAGATAATGGTGAAATTAGACTAGAACTAAACCACAAAATATTAAAAATAAATAACATAAATAACTAAATATGATAAACACAATATAAAGTTTAAAATAAATAAAATTCTACAATTGAGCTTGTATCAAGCTTTCCATCAATGAAAACCCTGGATAAAATGGGGTGTCTACACCTATAGTAGAGTTTTGATTGTCTGTTGACTTTGATTATCCTTGTGTAAAAGGTGTCAAATTAAAGCCCAAACTAGTTTTAAGATAGAAGTTTGAAATTATTTATTTTAGGCATATGGTTTGTACATTGGTTTAACTTCAAATTCTAGTGTTAATTCATTGGAATCTTAGTTTGTTGGTTTGTGGCTGGTTACTTAAAGGAAATATCTTGATTTTAGTAATTTATTTTAGCTTCACATATTTTTAGATGTATTGTTAATTATATGTCAGTGAAGATTGCACAAAAATGTGTTGCTTTAACACATGTGAAAGGCAGAAGGAAAAGAAAGCAAAAAAATATATTATAAGTGGAAGGCCACATGCTAACAAGAGGAAAAAGAATATATTAATGCTTTTGTTGAATCTTTTTTTGTTTTTGTTACTTTTGTGAAAACATGAATTTTTTTATTAAATTTGTTATTTGGCTCCAAATAGCTAGTTGCTTGTCTTTTTGTATTGTTGGTTCATGGCTTTATGTTATGCTATATATGGCTTAGTTTTAGGCTTATTTCACATTCATGGCTTTTTGTTAAAAGATGTTATATACGAATGCTAATGAAATGAATATCCTTGATTTTAGATTTTCCTCATTTTTATTTCTTATTTTTGGTTTTTTTCCCTCTTTTATTTATCTTTAGAGATGTTGTACACGAACAGTTAAACAAACCACAAAGAGCTAACTTTCCTTATTCCAAAATTTTCCCTTTTATTTCCAATTTTTTATTTTTTTCCTTTTTTTATTTCTTTTTAGAGATTTATATAAGAAGATAATGTGTAGGAAGAGCTGTTTTTTTACTTTAAGTACAATTTTTACATTTTTAGGTCAGAATGCCATGTCAACAATCTATATGGACACTATTTTATATATCATTTGCCATGTATGCCAACTGTCAAGTTAGTTTCTTTTAAGGGAATCATACATAATTACTTAAATTTGAAAATTTTTGGTTAATCTAAAAAAAACATAATGGATTGATTTGTTTGCAATAAAAAGTTGAGGGTTTATATCCATTTTGTTCCAAATGTTAACGGCATATTTGGGTATTAAGCCATTTAGTTTTAAAGAGGGATCTACTTATACTAATGTAAGTCTTATACTTTCTTTTTTTATCCTTGATCTAAATTACTAAAATTAAAATTATTCTTTTGATTCTAATTAGTTTTAGATTTAATTTTGATCTAAAGTAAAAAAAATATGGGACTTACACTAAGGTAAGTGAATTCCTACTCTTTAGTTCTACACTCTTTCATGATATTTTATACATTTTATATTTGTTTTCTTCGGTCATTGGATTCATGTTTTATTAATGTAGATCATGTATATCAAATTTCTAGTCAATTAAAAAAGTCTAACTAATTGTTTGATATAATAAAGTTTCAACTATTAATTGCACATAAAATTATAAAAAGATGTAAACTAATTAGATTTATATCAGTATAACTTAATTCCTCCTATATATACCCTTAAGTTATAGTGTGTTGCGTGGCATGTGTTTGTATTTGTGTTTTTCTTTTCTTTTCTTTTTAAATAAATGTAGGAAAATAAAATGTATTTTTTAATATTTAGTGAGTGAAAAAGTTGAGAATATAAAAAATGAGTACAAATTCACTTACATTAGTGTAAGTTTTATATATTTTTTAAAATTTTTGGACAAAATTAAATTCATGACTAATTTAGATTAAAATAATATTTTTAATTTTAACTATTTGATTTAAGAATAAAAAAGAGTGTAAAACTTATACTGATATAATTATCCTCATAAAATGTAATCTTTTACTTTCCTTCATTATTTGACTAAAATAATTACAAAGAGAAGCATTCAAAACCTTTGAGGTTTGAGTTGTCCCATTATCATGAATTATAGGTAATTTTATTTGAATTTTTTTCAGTTATTTGATGGTTTCAAGTACGACTTTAGGATTTATACTAAGGGGAAATTAACTTCATAATTTTCATTTTGTAATTTCACATAAAACTATAATTTAAACAACTTTGTTTTAGATGGAAAAACAAATTCCGGTAAAACACATAATATTCTATACTTTGTGCATAACCAAATATAAAAAATAATTGAAACAAACAATGTTAACAAAAAAGTTTTATAAAAAAGTCATCTTCCAAATAAAAATAGCCCTTTCTATAATTTTTTTTAACACTTCATAATTTAAAATCAATGTAGCCTTTGTTTCTATTAATACAAAATTAAAGGGAATATGTTAACTTTACTTCTAACAGAGATGGTTGGGCTACCTATCCAGGCCTATGGGCTCGCCCACTTTGGGTTTAATTTAGGCATAAATCTTTAGGCACTTGAATGTATTTTATTTTTGCTTAATTTGTCTAACGCTTGGGTTTGGGGCATAAATTTTAAATATAATTTTTTAAATGAGCAAGGCAATTTATAAAATTTATTTGTCTTTGTATTGCATGTAACATTATAAATTTTTTTATTATTGTTAAAAATTAATTTCAATATAAAAAAAATAAATATAAAAAAAAATTTTATTTCATTTTGCGAAGCCATTTTTATAAAATCGAAATACATGCATATATGTATATAATTCAACTATAAACTTATGAATTAAAATTCAAAATTAAATAAATAAACTCAATATTAAATTAAACTTTACCAAAAATAACTTTACATATTTACACATAAAATACTCTAGGATCAATTCCTAACTTTAAATTAAAATACTTAAAGTACCTTCTTCTCCTAAAATTTATTCCAAACACACATGTTATCGTGCTATGCCATGTAATTAATTTTCATAATAAGCCAATACCTAAAGACATGAAGTTAATTTCTTCTCAAATTTATTCCAAACACAAATGTTATCTTACTAAGCCATGTATTTAACTTTCATTGTAAGGATAGCTGAGACGTAATTATGATTATATTTGCAACTTTTATTTTTAATTGTAATTTTAAAAAAAATTTCAAATACCAAACTATTATTAGATTAAAAAAACATTTCTAGCTTTCCATACGTTGAATTAAAAGTCTCTCAAAATGCCTATCTTTGAATTAAGTAACTTTTAAGTATATTAGATTTAATTAACGAGGTTTATTTCAATTTAATTTAAACATAACCATATTAATATTTTATTGAGGTTCAATCTATTCAAATGTATTAAGGCCTTTTATGAAACATAATGTATTAAATGTGAGAATCTAAACATAAATAGAAAAAAAAAATATGATATTGTGAAAAATAATATATATTTTAAAAACAAAATTTAATTTTCACATTTAATAGAGACTTTAACAAAGTGTTTAATTAAAGTACTGTTCCAAAAATTGAATAAATTCAACATTCACAAATTAAATACCGTATTTTTATTGTATCGTGTGTTGGTGAAAATTAAATATTTAGTGGATTTTTATTGAATCTTTTATAACGAGAGTTATGGTTTTTTATGTATTTTTTATTAGCAAAGTAAAAAAAAAAAAAAAATGAAAGGAAAATTAGTTAAAGGAAACAATAAAAAATTAATGTAATTATATATAATTTTTCTTAAATAAAATTGATTGAATATAAGTTTTGCTAATTGTCACTCTTAACATTTTTTCATTGAAAATATGTAATTAAGTGATTCCTAAATATTAATTATTGAATGCATTGAAAAAAATTAAATCGTTGAAAATTTTTGTTTTTAATGGTTCAAAAATTTGTAATGATTGATCAGATGCATATCTTCTTATTTCTTTTATATACTACTCACTCTTTCACATAATTAATAATTAATACTCGTTGCGTTTCATTTTTTTTATCTATTTTTTTGTGTTTCAAAGTTATGTATATTTTTTTAACACATAAATATGTTAAAAATTATTTTTTTAACACATAAATATTTTAAGATTAGTTTTCATAAATTTTTTTGGCTTTCTAACATTAAAAATTATAAAATGTTAAAGCACAGACTCGTTTGCCGCGTTGGCTACACCAAGGAAACATGATTTTGTTGAGAAGACAAAGAAGAGTAGTAAAACAGCAGCTGCTATGATCTGCATGGCTCAGCATTTGTTGCTTTGGGTACTGATTGCTTGGTTTGCTACTCCAATTTATAAAGGTCTCACTTGCTTGAAGCCTGAATATAATGCACGCTTATCACTATCCATGTGTAAGTAATTAAGACTTTCAAATGATGCATTTCATTGTTTCAATGCAGGAGTTTGGACCACTGTTATTTCTTCACGTTTATCATTGAGCTAAGACAGAAGTCCATTATTCACCACTCTCTCTCTCAACTCTCTCGCTCTCTCTCTCGTTTATTAATTTGGCAGTTCCTAAGCCCTACCACATCTTGCAGTGCTACTGTTACCCGCATGAAAAACACATTAAAAATGCCTATTTATCTTCTTTCAACCGCAGACTTGTAAAGTTATTTTTCAAAGACGATTTAATAGATAAATTTAGGTCAATAAATTGATAGAGTTAAATATGAAAATTAATAATACATAAAATTATTAAAAATATTATTCATATTTCAAATTTGATTAAATTTATTTAACGATAAAAATTCTGTCAATATTTTTTTTTATTAAAAATTTTACCTAAATATATATATATCTAAATTTATTAAATTTTTTTAAAAATTTTATACACTAGATATATGTAACATGAATTTTTAATCTATTGATTTTGATTTTTGATTTTAAATTTTATTTAATCATTTTTAATTGAAATTTTCACAAATTTCACCTAAAAATTTTCATATAAGCCTTTCCCTACGGTTAGATCATATATTTTTTAATTTATAGTAAATCCATATAAGAGAGAATGAAAAACCCATATTAAAGAGACAAACTAGATAGGCTCTCTTCTCTTCTCACCAACCGTGGCTGAAGAAATCTTAAAAATAAGATACAATTATTAAATTCACAACTTCATTATGTTACCTTTTAATTATGTTTTTCGTGCAAATCAGTCTTACTCTATACTTTGAATCAGTGGCGTGCAAAAAAATTTATTTTTATTTAAGGAGAGCTTAGTTTAAATATATTAATTATAATAATAATAATAATAATAATAATAATAATGATAAATTTTCAAATCTAACCATAATTGTTAAAAATTTCGCAATTTTACTTTAACGTGATTTTATATTTTGAAAACGTTGCATAATAGATTTGTTATATTTTTGAACATATCTTTTTCAATGTATACAATTAAGTCATCATTCAATTATTGATTTTTAATTTAACTATGTAAACGAATCTTAAAAATATTAATTGCTGAAAATGTTCTCTGTACATACACTTTATTATTATTTTTTTTGGCATAGATATACAATATATTCAAACTTAGCAAAGTTATAATTTATTTACCAATTTTCAGCATTTATTTAATATCAATTTACGATGGAAAGGGAAAAACATATAAATTCTATATCGAAAAAATTAAAAAAAAATTGTTTTCCATTAAATAAGAACAAAAAACATAAAAATAAAAAGGTAACCGGTTGCTTGTTTTAAACATATGGTGAAGCCACAAAAATAATTTTATGCATACATCCAAATATCTAATTAATGCTTGATAATGCTTTTTTTTTTTTTGGTAGAATTGGTTTTTGGAGATAACACATTGATAAAAAGTTGGAATAATTTCTCAACACACATAGTTATCAAATCAAATAACAGTGATCCAATTTTATCTTTTTTTCTTTGTTAGCCTATTCCTCTTAGCATATAAAGTTTTTTTTTTCTCTACTTTATGTGAGATGCATGTATCTCTTCTATGAAGAGAATCCAACTTTAATGTACTCATTACTCTTAATGCTAATTTATATCATTATAGTATTCAATAAATGATTGAGACATGGATTCTAAAGAAAAAATTGCAAGTAAAAAAGGGGGGGAAACCAAAAGATATAATTTTAAATTAAATATGATTTTCCCTACGATAGACTTTCCATTGCTTCATTTTGATTGTTATAATTTTCCATATAATTATAACAACACATGCATTGTAACACTTAGTCAATTTGATCACCAAAATACCGAATTAGATGTTGTTGTCATTCTTTTTCTTTTTTTTTTTCTCTTAATTCTCATCGCAAATTTTAGGAAAGCATTAAAAAAAATTGTTAGAGAAAGCATCAAATTGGTTGATTCTAGATCAATCATGATCAAATTAAAAAAAAAAAAAGAAAAAAAAACAAAGAAAGCTTGAATAGGAAAAAAAATAAAAGAGAAAAAAAAAAGAAATGAAAATATGGGAGGAAGGGCTGCAAACCCACATGACCAAAAAAGGCACGGCTCCTTCATATTTGTGAACTAGTTTGTTGGTTGGCAGGGATATATTGCTAAATGGTACGAGATGGAGGATTGGTGATAGGTCGAGAGTGGATATTTGGCAAGACAGATGGGTGAACAAACTACCACACTATAAAGTTGAAGCTCCCAAGGAACGTCAGCCTACACCAATGAAGGTAGCTCTCTTAACTGATCAAGGGTCACCAAATTGGAGGATTGGGATCATAGATGAGATGTTCTCTTTCGAAGATGTGGAAAGAATAGTAAGTATACCATTGAGCAAACATAGCACTTGAGATACTTTCATCTCGAATGACACACTGCTTGGGAACTTTATTGTAAAATCAACATATTTTCAAGCAATGAGGGTGCTAGGAAGAAGGTGTCCAAACCAAGATCAATGGCATCCAATCTAGAAAATCATATGGATAGCCAAAGTGTTTCCATAGGTGAAAATCTGCTTATGTCTTATACATGACTATTTACCAACAAATAGTCAACTAAGTAGAGGAGGTTTGCATCTGGAAAACAAATGTTTAGTATGAGGCAGGATAGGAGAATCATGGTATCATATTTTTGTTAAATGTTGTCTTAGCAGCAAGGTATAGGAAGAGCTAGACATGAAAATTAACTCCATACCTGATAATAACTCTCCTGAAGATTTTTGGATGCAAGTTTTCAGCAGTGCAACAAGGATAGATTCTATAAAGACCTACATGCTGTGCATCTGTTTGTTATGGATGGGCAGAAACTCGTGTGTTCATCAAGGAAAATGCTTGACTAATACGAACTTGATGGGGCAGGCAAGACGACTGGCAAGAGAGATGATGGGATGGTAGAAAGCTAGTAACTCAAGCACCCTGTAGATTTACTGGCATCCCCTAGAATAAGATGTGCTCAAACTAAATGTTGATGCTAAATTTGTTGCTTCTATATGAAGTAGCCTGGGGAGCGGTGCTTCAGGATGCAAATAAAAATATCATCTTCTTCGCAGGGGCTACGAAGGCCAAAATAAGCTGTCCTTTAATGATAAAAGTGAATGCAATCAGGTAGAGTTACAGGTGGCTCCAGATCAAGGGGTGGAGAAAATACTTGTGGAAAGTGACTCTTTAATAGTTATATAGGAAATTGTTGATCAAACTGAGTCTTTCTTTGCTGGATGACGATTGATACAAGACATCAAGGAGCTAGCTACTGGTTTTCAAAAGTGCTATTTCAAAGATATTAATAGGAAGGTCAATGATTTAGCACATAATCTTGCCAAGGTTTCTATTCAGTGTGGGGAAATGAGCCTGTGGTCATATGAGCTTCCCTCCTTTTTGTATAACCCAAATTTATTACACCACGAATGAATTTAGCTTTTATGCTTAAAAAAAAAAAAAAAAGGAAAATTTGATAATTTAGGGAAAGAGATAAAATCATTTAAGAGGAAAAGTTATTCTAGTTGAAACCAAAGTAAAAAAAAAAATCCACTAAAAACCCAAAAATTAAAAAAGGCAACTAGCAGTCTGTTATGGGCCAAACCAAGAGCTGAGTTAGATAAATTAGTTACTAGTCAGTTAGTAAGAGAATTAGTTGACAAATTCTATCATATTCTGTAATGGGTCAATAAAGTGTCAGTTATAGGGTATTACGAGCTAACAGTTGAGCTCTTGTAAAGGATTCCACAGGCTATATAAGGATTATGGGGCTGTGAAATTATACATACGACATTCTCCTAGAAATTTCATTTACTTCCTATCTTGTAAATTCTCTCAAATTCTACTTCTCTAAATTCTTCTTCTTTACTAAAAACCTCAATTTTTAGAAGTCAGACTTCAATTCTCTTCTAGAATGACAGTTACTGATTCAAGCAGCATCATTGGCATCAAAGCTAAAGATCATGACAATGGCAGATGGTACTATTATGAGGTTGCAAAGAGAGACTGGACATCTTCAAAAGGAAATTGTGAAAATGGATGGTAAGTTGATAGCTACAGGAGAGATATGAAAGAACAAGATCAGAAATGAGTTTCAAGAAAAATTGGATGCAGTGGGATTGGAGATGAGCCAACTATTTGCGCAAGTGATGAACAAGATCAATGGTTCATTGAAAGGGGTTAAGATGGGGGACTAGATTACCATTAGCGCTTCTGACATGTGATAGACTGCTAGGCTTGGAGATATGGAAAAAGAGAAGATGGCAACTCAAATGCAGAAGGTTTCGACAAAGTATTCCAAGTTTGGCTAAACAAATGGAATCTTTCATCTATGAAGTTCCCAAAAAGTCATTCATACCCTACAAAAACCATTTATAGCACCTCCTTTGGCAAGTACAAACCTTTCTTTAAACCGATCCACATTACCACCTCTCTTACCAACACCTAAATCTTCCTTTCCCATATATAACCAACTTGCCAAGAATGTTACTACACTCAATACATATAAGCCTATAAACACAAAACTTGAATAAACCATGGTTAAAACCAATAATCAAATACCTAACAAAAATGAAAGAGATGAGGGAAGGAGAAAGAGTCCTTGTATGTGGTGTAGAGCCAAGTACATTGCAGGACACAAATGTGCGCAATCCTAATTATATCAAATACTAACTGAGGATGCCAAAAACAGTTCTTTGGAGGTAGAAAAATTATGTGACTACATTAAAAACCCGAAGGAATTAGGGTATGTGGATGAGGAGGAACCGATTAGGAATGTTATTTCTTTACATGCATTAGTCAGTGCCGAGGGACACCAGACTATGAGAATATAGAGAAAGATAAAGAACCAAGTAGTAGTTATGTTGACTCTGGTAGCACTTGTAAGTTGGATTTTTCAAAGAAGTTGGGTTACAGTACCTCAACAATAAGAGGTATTGTTATAATGATAGCCAATGGCAACCAAATTGTGACTAGAGACATTTGTAGAGAGTTGTTATGGGAAACACAAGGGTTGGTATAGCAGGCAGACTTTTTAGTGCTGTCCCTAAGGGATTATGATCCAGTCTTAAGGGTAGAAAGGCCACAATCTCTAAGGCTAATTGTGTGGGATTTTGTCCTACTTACTATGCAGTTTACGATGGACAATAGTTGGGTTACTCTACAAAGGTTGCAAACAACTCAAGTACAGTTATTTGGTAGGAAATAGGGAGCCAAACTTACTAAGCAGAGGAAGACTGGTGGACTAATGTT